TGATGGTCTATTGTCTCCTAGACATTGTGACATTTTTGTATTTAGATCTCTGTTAACTGTTTGTGAAGAGCAGCTAAGGGTGAGTCAGGCTCTTCTTGGTGGTTGTTTATTGTTGGCCAGTTGGTGGAGAAGGAAGTAGTGGCTCTCAGTAAATGAAGCTGCAGGAGGTTTGGGTATAGTTGTACTGTATGGGCACTGTTGTCATTTCCCACTCAGTTAGACAAAAATAACATCTGAATAACCATCAAAAAAGTAATAATAGCACGTGGACAAAAAACACACCATGCAATCACAGAGGAACAATAACCAAAAAAAAAAAAAGGGAAAAAAAACTCACAATATCTGGGGAGAGGGCAATAAGAGAAAAAAGGTAGAGCAGGAGAATAATGAAGAAGAAAATAGGAAAAACGCAAAAAGAAAAACAAAGAATGGGGTTAATCACAAGAAAGAAAAAAACTGGAACCAGGAACATGGAAGAGAGAAAAGCTGAAAACTAGAACCTGGGAAGGGAAGAATAAATAATAATAAGGACAAAAATAGTACTACTAATAATAATTTTAAAGACAAAAACAAACAAATGGAAAAAAAAGTCTGGGCAGGGCGGGGCAGGGCACCCAGGCTCCGTCTGAGCACACAGACTGGGATGGAATTCCTGCTGGCCCAGAAGGTGGATGGGAGTTAGGGATGGCCGCATCTCTGTTCACCAAGAGGTTGTGGGATATAAGAGCAACAAGGGGAATATCGCACCTTTCCAGTCGTTGGCGTCTGGAATGTCCTTGCGGTTCCTGGCAAGTGGAGCCTATTCTTAAGCCCTTGGAATCTGGGAGAACGCTGTCACTTTAAATATCCAAAATGGTCAAACCACTTGTAAACATTCAAAATGGCTGCACCCTCCAGTCAGGCGAAATAAAGTCCACAGCTCAGCCTGTCTTCCTCTTTGCTGCTTCCCCTTTTATTTACCAGCCACCAGTGCAGTCCTCCATGTAGCCCCTGGCTAGTAGGGCTGATTTTTAGGTTAATTTTTAGGTCCTAACACCACTCAACAATGTCCAAACTGTCTGTGCTGTCAGGATCACTGCCAGACTGCAGCTCCGTATGTCACCTTTTTTGGTGTTTTCATGCAAATTTTTCTACCAGTTGGAGTTTAGTCAACTTCTGTATCCTTCCCTTCAATGCTCAGGTGGCCAGGATTATCTTCTGTGTCTGTGTTAATTGGTTCCCCTTTTCTTCGCTGAAGAGGGTCTGTGTAGTCTTTCTGCCTATTCCACTACCTTACCAGAACTGTTTATTTATTTATTTATTTTGTACAGCTGCTAAAAAAGATGAAAAAGCAGAGATGTAAAAAGGGTACCTCAGCCTAAGGTAAGCCTTCCCAGTTACCAGGGATGGTCACCAAACACTGCCCCATCCCATGTAAGTCAGTTATATGAACCAAAAAAATACAACTACTCACTTTATGTTGAAAGGGATCTGTCTGGAGGATTGGAAGCTTCAGGGTGGAGTGAAGGTAGAAGGAGATTTCTAAGGAACTGACAATGTTCCATTTTGGTCGTGGCCACAGGGCTGTTTATAATAACTCTTTAAGCTGTTCTTATGCGTCCCTAGGTGGCACAAATGGTTACTAGCAGAAAGGAGGCTAGTGTTCGAACCCACCCAGAAGTGCCTCTGAAAACAGGACCAGTGATCTGCTTCCAAAAGGCACAGCCTTGAATACCCTACTTCGCATGCAATGAGGTCGCCATGACCCAGCCACTACCAATTCTCATGGTTTATATACTTTTGAACATGTATTTCACAATTAAAACAACTGTTTTATGTAAAATAGAAATGTGTTGTATGGGTAGAGACTCAGGGTTATTCTTCCCCAGAGGATAAAGCTGGGGGAAAATGACACTTGGGGAACAAATGTGCCCCACCCAAACCTAGGAAAAGTAGTCCCATTCAGACGTGTCCCCATGTATCTGCAAAAGCAGCTCCTCCCCACTTCCGTGATCTCCTGGTATATATGAAAACACACACGCACCATACAACAACTGCAGTTTTTAATGAAAACAATTTGCCATTCCAGAAACAATTTTAGGGGGAAAAATATCTTCCCTACAAAAATAAAACTCCTCAAAATTATAAATATTATAATTTTACTTCTGCAATTTAAAATGCTCCCCTGCAATACTACCTTTTCATTTAACATCTCCTGTACCATCGCATATTGAAAACAGTATTCCAGCAAAGCTTAGTTTAATTTCACTTAAGAGTTAGTTTGTAAAATGATTCTAGCGATCTTTCTTTGGCCTTAGTGCCTTTTGTTTTGTTTTAAACATTAAAAAATGCTGCTGCAGTGACCAGTGTTTGATAAAGAACACCAGTCTTTTGAAGAACTGCAAACTGACGAAACTTCAATACAGTAAATTTTTAAACTCACAACGTGTAGTGCACATGACAAGCGAGGTTCTAGATGATACAGATGAGGATAAGGCCTCTTTAGACAATCTACTTCAAGTAAAAAAAAAAATAATAAAAAAATTCACAGATAACCCATCTGCTACAACTTTAATTTTCTAACAGTGTCTTAATCTCAGAAACAAACGCTTCACAAAATATAAGCTTACAGTTGAAGTGGGATGGGTATTAAAAAGACCAGGTGGTTGATAACAGAATACTCAAGTTCAAGCCTTGGTCTGAATAGTAAAACCAGGATAAAAATCATGAAAGCATTCCCTGAACAATAAAGGTAAGGTGTTTGATGACAATGTCACTAAAACCTAGAAAGTTACATGCAAAATTAAACACGATGTGCCATACATATTTTATAGCTAGATCTACTTTTTTTCTTAACTTTCCTTAAAAGCTTAAGAAGATATGATTGTCTCAGTAATTGTGTGGCACTGCACAGCCAACACTTACATCTGCCTCTAACAAGATGGGTATTCTTTGAAAGTCAGAAGAGCCACCGAGAGAGGAACAGAAATGCAATAAAAGGCACAGCTCACTTGAGAGGCAAAGAACTGAAGCACCTTGGTATTTCAAAAAGAATCCATTAGGTGTCACCAATGTGTTAACAATTCCTTGGGAATTTATAAACAATATCTGGACTAAGAATGGACTGTCGGGCCTCTGTGTAACAACAGCACAACTTTCCCATTGTTCTCAGGTAATCACTGCATACCATGAGGTTACTTAACCTGATTTAAAGAAGGCTTCTATTGCACACGCATTTCTTTGGTTGGTAGGAACATGCACTTTTGTTATAATAAGTATTTCCATTAAAAAATAAAACCCTGTTGCGTGGCCAACTGGGTGCTGACTTTCCGCCTCCTCACGGCCTCCTCCTGACTGTTAAGTAGTCCTGTACACTGAGGGTCTGGAAGGGGCGCTGGTTTCTAATCAGTTTCTCTGTTCTACATAATGTTCAGTTTACAAAGAAAAAGAGAAAGGAAGGAAGGGAGAGGGAAAGAAGGAGGAGGGGAAGGGAAGGGGAAAATATAAAAAGGAAAGAAAAGAAAAGAGGAGGGGAGAGGAAGAGAGAGGATGGGAAGGGAGGGGAGAGGAGAAGAGGGGAGGGAAGAAAAGAGCCATTGCCACAGCCGCGTGCTGGGAGTCCTCCACCTGATAAATCTCCTGGCTGACAATCAAGGTTAAGAGCAGCTGCCCCACTCCTCCCCTATACTCCTTTTTAACCTTGAAAACAACCTCTGGAAAAACTACAGCTTAACAAGAGTTAGCAAATAGTCATTAGACCTTGGGAACTGCCCCTCCTGCCAGAGAAGTTATATCACTTAGACCTTCCACTCTGTGAGTGCAGGGTGGGGGGCGTAAGGCCCCCATTTCTGTCACAGTTTGTAATTCTCCTGTCAGCTCTGGAGTTCATGGGCCCCTACTTTGGTTTACCCCCACTTCCTTGACTTTGTTCCCACATTTTACCCAACAAGAAATCAAACAATCCTAAAATGGGCTCCATAGCTCAAAGCCAAATGCTTTTTAATGAGTTAACAAATACCCTTTTCTTCCTCCACCACAAACTTACTACCCAAACCACCTTCCTCAGCCTGCAGCACTATCCACCTCCACTCAGACCTTCTTCCAAACGTGCTCCTTACTTTCTTTGTTAAATGCCTACAAAATCCTTCACAAACTCCTCATTGTTCCCGGCTTCCTGTGCCTTTCAATTCACATGGATAGTTTCTTTTGACATTTAAAAAAAAAAAAAAGACAGGTAGTTTCAACATAAAACAAGTATTCAGATTCCTGGTTAAGCTTTTAAAAAATCATTTGCACATCCTTAAGCTTAACATCATCATCACATAATTAAAATAACTAAAAAGAAGGAAAATAAAATAACCCAGAGTTCATGCTTCAAAGCACTCTAGAATGCTGTCTGATGCCCACTACTGATTCACAGCTTGGCGAGAGGTAACATCGCAGTGCTGTAACTTAACAAGCTCGCAGAGTCCTTTACACAGGATGCTTAAGGTGCAGGATGCTGTGAGGCCTGCTTGAGAGAACTAAAATTGGAGATAATAAAAGGGGAAGACCCCTGCATCACAGGCTAGAAAACTGCCCTCAGAAAAGAGACACTCGCTGCTGCTTTTGTACATGGGTTGAGCATGCTCCCCTCGCTCCAAACAGCCCGCACCGTTCCTGAGAGGCTGTGAGGCCCTCGCTTTAATCGGGTTTCCACACTTCATTGAGGGCTTCTTCAAGCTTGTGCCTGTAGGCCGTGTAGCGCTTCTTCAGGTTCTGCAGCTGCTCATCTTCTTCCTTGTCTAAGATGCGCAAGAAATTCTGCAGTTCTGGAAGGCTGAAGGCTTCCCACTTTGAGGGAATACAAAAAAGAAAAAACACCAGGTACTAAGTCAGAGTGGGAGGGTAGGGACGCCAACTGTGAGCACAGGAAGTGAGGCTGTCTTCACTCTCCCTCCACTCACAGCCCAGCACCTCAGAAGCACTAGTTTACCAGAGTGGTGTTAGCAAGCTCTACAGATCCCAACTCCTACTCGCGCCTCAGCTCACCTGTCAGCCTTCAGCTCCTACTGTTCCTCCAAACTGGCTCTCACTAAGGCCAAAGACCTCCATGTCCCTAATACCATTAGACCTTTTACTCCTTACCTGATTTGACTTCAGAAGCATTAGAAACCAGTTGCCATGCCCCCACCTTAAACATTCTTTTCCTTTTACTTGGAGGCACCGCTGACACCACTTCCTTCTCATGTCCCATAATCAATTTTCACCACAAGCAGCTGCTGTCAAGCCAATTCTGACTCATGCTGATTCCACAGGTGTCAGAGTAGAACTGTGCACCACAGCGTTTTCACTGGCTGAGTTGTCAGAAGCAGACTGCCAGGCCTTTCTTCCAAACTACCTCTGGGTGGATGCAAACCTCCAACCTTAACCTTTCATTTAGCAGCTAAGCTGTTTATATCATATATATATATATCCATATATATATATATATATATATATATATATATATATATATATATACAGGGAGCTCTGGTAGCATAGTGGCTAACCAGAAGGCTGGCGGTTCAAACCCACCAGCCACTCCTCGGAAGGAAGGTTGGGCAATCCTACTTCCGTAGTGATACTGCCTTGGAAACCCAAGGAGGGGTCGCTATGAGTCAGGGCCGACTCGACAGCACATAACAACAACAACAACATATATATACAATCAAGCTTATCACCACTTAAACAGTTCTCCAATTGACCTACTTCTCTTTGAAGCCACTGCCCCCCAGTGGTAGCCACCATCATTTTTTAACAGGACTCCTGCCAGCCTCCAACCCTGCTGCTTCACTCCACTCTTCGGACTCTCCCCATTTTATTTTTCACACATGTTAAGTTCTCCAAAAGAAAGACACTGTAATATATCTTCCCCCTCCCACCCTGTGACAACTATGGAAAGTTACTTCCCGCAGTCCAGTTAGCCTTAAATAACTGAGAAACAAGAACATCGTATAGAGGGAGTCCAATAAAGCAGCTCAGAACTTGAAACACAATGTAAATTTCAAAACTAAGTTAACACGATTCCTTCCCAGATCATTTAGCTAACTCAAATATGTATAATACTTACAAGACCAATGACAAGAAAAAAGAAAACTGAGAAGACTATGCTAATGTGTGTAGTTCAAGCTTTCAGAAGAAAAAGCCTCCATACACCAAACTACAATGCCACATCTGACTTTAGCACCCAGGCTTTTCCCCAAAATGAGTTGTAATTTTTAAAGTTTCAAAACATCAGCATCAAAAGAAACTTCAAAAATGTCTTCCTAAAACTCCTTAAATTCTAATTTACACTTCTGAAACATAAATTCACTATTGGTAACCCCCACTTGTCCAAAGTTTGCTTTCCACCACTTCGTTTTTATGAAAGACCTACACTAGTACCAGCTTTCACTAGCTGGAAGAAATCTGAAGAGGATTTTTGCTTTGGTGAAAAAAGGGTGAAAAGCAAAACTAGCGTTCAGCGTTTGTTCGTTAAAGAGGCAGCATACAGCCTGAGCAGAAGAGTGTCTTACCAAAGAGTGTCGTCACCAAAAGTGTCACCAAGCTCCTTCCTAGGAACTACACTCAGTATCTGGCTACCGTAGCATTGAACTGTCTGTGAACACTGCATGTTAGTGTTATTTCAGGTTTTATGTGTGGTTTGGTGTGATTTGGTAGGTTACATTTGGGTCTGGGAACAGTCAAAAATGTTTCCCATATAAATTAGTGGACACCATTTCAGCTTAAGAAAGAAGTCACAGGAAGGCTGCTTTACTTTTGGATAGTGGAAGAAGCCTGTATTTACAAAGCAAATTTACACACATTTCACATTTGTGACTCTAAATCACCTTTTAAAGTCTATAGTCCCACTCTATACATTTTAAAACTGAGAACTGAAAGATTGGAAGATATACCCAAATCTATTAAGAGGAACAGCAGAAAGTAACAGTCCTGGTCCCGAACTTTTAACCTAGTAACTGAGCCCATGCCCAACTGCACTGAGAATTGTTCAACAGTGGGCAATTCATACCATTTCCTGTTCCAAACGGCTAACTGAGACCACTGGTTCAGAGATTGCTCAAGTGTCATTTAAAGTTGACACTTGATCCTAGAGGCAGGATTTTGAACCAGTTCATTCTGGTTTAATCCCATGCTCATAGTTTCTGTTTCCACCCCAGATATACTGACTCTGAACTTACATTTTAATAAGAACTCCAGTGATTTTAATAAGACCCCTGGGGGTGTGTAACAGCCACCTGAGGATCTTGTTAAAATGTAGATTTTGATTCAGTGTATCTGGTGTGGACTGGCACATTCTCAGCAGGAGGTCAAACAGGAATGAACTGGCAAAGCCCTATCCGAGATAGTCTAAAGCGCTTTTTCCTTCAAGCGAACTGAACTGACGTAAATACAATCCTCTGCCAACACAATGTCTTAATCATTTGACCAGGCAGGGGGGTAAAAAGACTGTAGAAAGTGTCTTTCAGTAAAGAGATTGAATTTCCTTTTATTTCCCCGTTAGAACAAATTAGCCTGGAGACTTCTGTAAGTAGCAAACATATGGAAGGTGTCAATTTTCAAAGTTCAGTTGGATTAGAGTAATTTGGAAGTGGAAGGGGTGAAAATGACTCTTTGAGTGGAGATCAGAAAAAAAAAGGACTGCCTTCTACCTCTGGAAATTACAGGCCAGTCTAATGTCAAAGAATTATACTGGAGACTGTGGGCTCATTTCTGACAATTCAAAAACACACAGCAAGCTGTCCCCCACGGGACCACCTCCTCCTGATGCAGACAGGCACAGACTCTCCCCCAGCCCCCCACCCACAGTGTAGCATCACTAGACTAGAGCAATAAAACCGGACAACTGTTCTGTATATTCGAAGGCAGTATGAACAGCCACTCACCTCTCCAATTTCATGCTCACGAAGAACAAAACTAAGCGTGTCTGTTCTGGGACCTGCTACCAAACGCAGATAGAGTGGATGTTCCCGGTCTGAGAGCTTGCAGGCATAGACTGAGTAAGGAAATAAACTGCATGTTATGAAGTATTTAATCATCCCCTAAACCTCTACCCTATTACCATCCCCTCATCCAGATAAAGACCCCCACATGACAAAGGAGAATTACCCCATATGGTTTTCTAGGCTGTTATCTTTATGGGACCAGATCACCAGGTCTTGTCTACCATTGAGCAGCTGGTGGGTTTGAATGGCTGACCTTTCGGTTAGTGACTGAGCACTTAACCAATGCACCACCAGGGCTCTTCAGATAAAGGTAATAGTCCATATTACTGTAGCCACCCAATCACCCTCCTCCTCATTACCAGTAGCCCATGGTCAACTGAAATCTATACTATTTCTATTCTATATGCTGAGTATAAACTGTGCCTCGAGTAATAAGTAATTTTCAAGAACAAATTTAAATGGGCAGTAGTCCCAAAATAGGAGCTCTTGTAGCACAATTTCTAAGGCATTTGCCTGCTAACCAGAAGATAGTTGGTTCAAACCCATCAGCTACTCCACGGAAGGAAGATGGGGCAATCTACTTCCATAAAGATTTACTGCCTCAGAAACCCGACGGGGTCGCTATGACTCAAAATTGGCTCGATGGCAATGAGTTTAGGGTTTTCTGGGTTTTTTTTTCTCGGTTTTAGTCTCAAAATAGAGTACCTGGATGGTGCAAACAATGTGCTTGGCTGCTAACTGAAAGTTTAGGGGGTGGAGTCCACCTGGAGGTAACTCAGAAAAAAGACCTAATGATCTACTTCCAAAAGACCAGGCACTGAAAGTGCTATGGAGCTATTTCACTCGGACACACATGGGGTCACCATGGATCAGAGCTGACTTGACAGCAACTGGTTCAGTCCCAAAATATGCTTATAATTAGTTATACTCTTCCTTTTAGAAAGCAAGATAAGAAACTAAACTCTTAACAACAGTAAAAGTACACCATCCAAAAACATGAAATCACAGTTTTAGGAGCAAATCTCTCTGCAGATTAATATTTAGAATCAGCATCTGCAAACGACCAAGCAATCAGAACACAAGCTCTGGTGGCTTCAAGGACAGCTGTATGTGTCCCATGCTGTCCACACACATCACACACAGGGTACCCAGCCTATGGTATTCAAAGTCTTGCCAGCAAAAAAACCCCACTGCAGTCAAATTGATTCCAACTCCTAGCAACTCTACAGGACAGCAGAGTTGCCTCATAAGGGCTACACACCTTTAAGAAAGCAGACTGCCACGTCTTTCTTCCACAGAGCAGCTGGTGGGTTTGAATCACTGACCTTCTGCTTAGCAGCCGAGTGCTTAATGATTGTGCCACCAGCGCTCCTGAGGGTAGCATTTCAGTGAGATGCTATTACTGTCAGATTGTGCAGCTCAAGTCTAGGTAAGCAGTCAAAGGAGCTGGCAAGATGAAAGTGCCACCTGAGGTCATCTACATTATTTTGGCATTTCCACATACAAATGTATACATCTCCAGTGCAAGTCTGTCTGTATTGTAGGTACAGATTTCCCTGTAAATACAAACTCCCCCTGCAGCTAAGCCTGCGGCTTCTTGGGGACAGGCATCCTGGTCACTTCATCTTTTTATTCCAGAATCGACTCAATGGCACACAACAGCTGTGATACATCTTCAATAAATGTTTGCAGACTCAGTATCTGCCTGGGTTTCATTCTCGTGCAACTGGAGGACAGTATCAGGTCCAGGTTAGCTTATTTTCTTCTATAGCTGCTTTAGGCTTTGCCCAGAAAAACCAGACAAACTTAAATAGCTTACTGCTCACATCTACACACGCAATTTTCAAACTGGCACTTAGGGAATAACTAGATTATTACTGTCCACCACTCATATCAATTTCTGCTCAACTGCCTGACCTGGAATACCTTATTCAGTATCATGCAGTAATTTAATATTTTCTTTCTATCCACTGAATGTAGGTATTAAGTTCAGACAGACAGACCCCAGATCAAAATGTTATTCACTGACTTTAGGTGCCTCTCGGGGGGGGCAGGGTGCCAGTATGTCCCAGTGTAACATCAAGCAAGACAAGCTGAGGAAACAGAAGAATCCAGGGCTGCACCATTTACATCAGAAAGTCAGAGGATGTGCCATAATACACACAGTATCTCTCCATCCTCAAGTCCACTACATCACTCTGTGCTCACACACAGATCAAATATGGAACGTGCGACTGAAAATTCAAGCACAGAGGTATTTATTTTTGCCTTAATGAGCATTAAAAAACAAAACAAAAACGAAAAAAAAAGCAAAGCCACCCCCATGTGCATCCCATCAAAGCTTCCAAATGCCCATCACATGGGGGTGCCTTTGTGCTCCCTCAGACTCCCAACTATCCAACTCAAAAACAGCCAGCCAGGAAATTAAGTGCATGCTCCAATCATAATGGCTCACAGAACCTGTCCCCCAGGCTTTGACATAACTGACATAGACACACCCGTAAGTCTTTCTGCTAATGAGGTCAAAAGACATAAATAAAAGCAGAGACTGCTTTAATTGCAAGCATGGCGGTGTACCTTGATCTTCCCTGTGACAACGCTTATAAAGTGCAAACTTGGCAGGGCTATCAGTCACGAGAAACTTCTTGAGTAGGGCCTCAATCACTTCCCCGACAGTGTTTGTGCTGCTGATATGAAGTGTGTTCATACAGCCATTGCTACTGGGAGTGAGTTTTCCAGGATTCTGGGAAGTCTGTGGAGGTCTGCAGAGCTCCATCTGTACTTTAATGAAGCCAGTGTAAATCCCATTGGAATTCTGAAGAGGGAAGGAAAGCACACACTTAGGTGAGTTGAGAACATTTTACAAGAAAGGAATGTCTTAGTTTCTTAATTCTGCTGTAACAGAAGTAGGTGGCTTTAATGAACAGTAATTTATCTTCTTGCAATTTAGGAGGCTAGAGGTCTGGATTCTGGGCACTGGCTCTAGAAGTGTCTGTCTCTGTCCATTCTAAGGAAGTTCTTTATCTTCGCTTCTCTGGCTCCTGTGTTCCTAGGCTCCCTGGCCATCTCCATGTGACTTCTCTCTTTCACCTACTTCTGTTTCCTTGCTGCTTTGTCTAATCTGCTCTTTTTATATCTCAAAAACTGAAATTTAAAACACCCTACACAATGATATGGTCACATTAACATATAACTAAGAAAACCCTCCCCCAAGATGGGACTGCATCTATAGGTGTGTGTGTGTGTGTGTGGGCAGTGGTTAGGGTTCTAACACATATATTGGGGGACACAGTTCAATCCATAACAGAGCATATCAAACCAGATGAGGAAGGTCAAACACTCTTTTTCCTTGTCTTTTTCTTTTATAGCTTTGTGGTGGTGCTTTTCCCTAAAGGAGTGATCTCAGGGGGACAATAACACACCCCAGCAAGGTGCTTCCAGAGGCAACAGTGTCAGGGCAAACATGGCGACTGATGATGCCGTCCTAACGGTATAACCACTGAAGTCTATGTGCCCTGATCACCCATGCCTCTGTGGCTACATGTGAAAGGTCAGGGCCCAGAGGAGAGGGCACAACTCCCTTAGAACCAGTGCTAGGCAAACCACAAAGCTTATTAAGCCTTGGGAAATATGCATAGGCTAAATGCTCAAAGGAAAACATCATCCTCAAATGACAACTAAATATTACACAAAAAAGGAAGGTCACAATTAGGACTATGAAATACCTATGTAAACAATGAGTTGACAAGTTCATTCCTAGTGGCTATTATGATATGTGTTAGATTACAAATTTTGTCTACACTTTTGTTACACAGCCTACATCCTCTCTCACATGAGATACAAAATGATGCCTTTCAGGTATCTCAAGCAACAATATTTTTAAAATAAATTCTAGCTACAATGTTAACTACAGACATTACAGGTACTTCTCCTAATTTATGGTAGAACTACAATTTTGTGAATTGCCAAAAGTAGTAATAAATGGTCTGATTTTTCACTTTTTTCCATATTCAGTATATTTAGGAAAAAAATTATAGTAATGCTTTACTAAAACAAATCCTCAGCTGTTATAAAAGACACAGTTACAGTAGAACATTAGAAACATTTTTTTGGTCCATTATCTCACTTCCAAAAGACCAATTTACAATACTAATTCACTTGCTCACGCTTATAGAAAGCATTATATAATGCTTAAATTTTTGTGTTTGAAATAATATGGAAATTTGTGTCTCTTTTCGTCTCCATGCAGGTGGGAAACATGGCAAGTGGAATTTTTCTCCTTTGATAAAAAATGTGTGTGAAAAAAGGAAAAATACCACTGTGGAATAATGAAGAAGAATCTTGGGATTGTCTGACCTGTTCCCCATCTTTGGTGGAGTCCCACTGGAAAAGGAAAGGGATCCTTTACCACAAGCGTTTCTATTTTAAAGCTCTTCCCCTAAGGGTCACAGAATTCAGTAGAGCCTATTTTAAACAGATTACCCTGTCCTCTGCTGAACTGTCAGTTCATAGAAAACAAATTGAGTACCAGGGGTCCAAGGGCCCCAGAAACTGGCACCAAGAGATGGCAGGCACCACATGGAAGGTCACCAAGTGGGCGGGCAAGGCAGACACAGCTCAGTCCCCAAGACCATGAATACTCTATCTTTGTTGTCAGCTCATTTCATTGTCCCCAAGCCCTGTCCCTTTCTCCCTCCTACACCTTCACTCCCACTATGCTTCAAACTGTGTGCTACAATGCTGTAGAAACCTGTAACCACAACGGGTAGGAAACTGAATATTATACACCTCAGCTTCTACCAACAACCAGCTGAGAAATATTCCAGCTCATTTATATTCTAACCCACGGACACAAAATCCTTTTCATAATACTTTCAAATTTGTTTACATAAAACATCTCTGAGGTCTTGATGGAATCAGAGTTACTTTATATACATAAACGTGCATACATACACACCCACAAGTGAAATGGGCAATGATTACACTCAATGTTAAAAATCTTTTGGGATCTCAAACTTTTTTCCAAATAAATTTTTAAGATATGTTTCCTCTTTTTAAAGGCAAACTCAGCAACTCATTTTGAGATCTCAAGGTATTTCTAAATATGGATTTGAAAGATGCAGAAATACTCCATTTTCCTATTGTGCATACCTTGACCATTAAAACTCTGCAAATGTTATTCATAGGTTTAAAAATATACAAACTGTAGTACGAGCAACTTATATTTGTCTTAAGTGTCAACCTAAACAGTAATGGGAGTGCTTACCAAGGTCATCTTCAATTTGTCTGTGACTGCTAAATTATATTTATGAACCTTTTCTTTGATTTCCTCTTTGCTGAGGTAATTGTGGGTTTCCTTCTCTTTCTCCACATCCTAGAAGAAAAATAAATCATGCCACACATAAGCAATCACAGAAAAATAAATAAATAAACAAATGCAGAAGAGCCACGGTTTTTTTTTTTCACATTCCACACAAGAACAACCATGGTGCATTTTACCTTGAAGCACACACACACTCCTCTCTTTCAAATTCTCCAAGCTCACTCACAAAGTATGGTTCATTTTCTTTCAAGATTATAGCCTGTCTGGGTTTGAGGGTTAATATTACGTGTTAAACTGGGCTAGGCTATGATTCTCTGTGGTTTGTCAGACAATGATGGGACTGATTGCTTTTCCATAATGTAATAGAATGTAATTACCCTCCATTTTGTGATCTGATGCAAGCAGCCTATCAGTTGAAAGCCAAACGGTTTCCTTAGGAGTGTGGTCTACATCCAATATATGCGGATGTTCTGGCAAAGCTCATTCTCTTAATCCTGCATCCGACTTGTCATCCTCTGACCTTCAGTTCTTGGGAGGTGGGCCAGCAGCTTGCAGTCTGACCTGCCAATATTGGGTGTCAGCCTCTGCAACCACATGAGTTAGAAGAAGCCTCCAGCCTGACATATGACCCATAGATTTGGACTTACCAGCCTTCAAAACTGTGTGAGCCATTTCCTTGAAATAAATCACTCTCTCTATACACACACACACACACACACACACACGTGCTTCATTGGTTTTGCTCCTCTAGAGAACCCAGCCTAAGGCACTGGGGGATACAGCAAATAAAATTATTTTGTCAGCAACTAAAAGCAATAATTCATTTAATATAATTGAAAAACTGTCCTGCTAAATTTTCCTTCTGCAGAAACACCACTTCCTCAGAATACCTGCTCAGTTACCATTTCTATTTTAAACAATAGATACATACCAAAAAGGCTTTCTCTATTAACTTTATGGTCTTTATAGCTTTATAATATTTATCTACACTACACAGAGTTTTCAATGGCTGTAACCTTACAGGAGTGTTCCTTGGGCAGTACAAATGGCTGAGCACTTGAGTACTAGTAAAAACTGGTCCAGAGGCACCTCAGAAAACAAGCCTGGTGATCTGCTTCTGAAATTACAACCTTGAAATCCTACGATGTAGTTCTTCTCTGTACACATGGAGCCACGATGAGTTGGAATCAATTCTACGGCAACAGAAACAAGTTTACGGAAGTAGATTGCGAGGCCTTTCATGGTGCCATGGAGTGGATTCAAACCAAGAGCAAACCTATGCATCACTCAGGGATGTAAAAAGCAAGGTACAAACCCAAACTTACTGCCACTGAGTCAATTCCAACTCATAGCGATCCTATAGTATAACCAAAAAAATCAAACCCACTGCCATTGAGTTAATTCCAACTCACAGTGACCATCTGGGACAGCGTAGAACTGCCCCTTAAGGTTTCCAAGGCTATAAATCTTTACGGAAGACTGCCTCATCTTTATCCCACAGAGCAGCTAGTGGGTTCAAATCACTGACCTTTTGGTTAGCAGTCGAATGCTTTAATACTGCACCACCAGAGTTCCTTTCCTATAGTACAGTAGTTAATAAACATTAACTGGAACTATCACTAATCTGCCAAACTATACAAAATTACCAAAGGGTAGTTTATCTTGCAAAGAAATCCCCATGTGAAAACACAAGTAGTCAGACTTTCCCTACCTTCCTCACACATGCCCAGGAAGTGTGAGGGTGGCAAGTTGGAAAGTATTCACTAAATGTTCTTATCACTGTGAAGAATTCACTAATGATGTAGTGTCTAGAGCTCATCCAGTCCCGTAAAATGCTATGGCTCATCTGGGATCACAGCTAGCCCAACTGCCATGTTTTGTGACCCTAACAAAGCCAAGTATACCAGGCATCTAACCTGTATCACATTTAATTCTCTCAACAACCTAACCGAGTAAGAATTATTCTGTTTCCAGATGAAGAGATCAAGTCCTAAGAAGTGAATTAACCTGCCAAAAGAAACTTAACTGTTTGTAGAAGTTAGGAAATTAGCTGCAATCTGATCGAAAGCCCACCAACCCTCACTGAGACCTGTTAAGTACTACTACACTAGGCCTCCCATTTATCCTCCCTGAAAGGAGCTAGTCAGCACCCACACGTTACAGATAAGAGCTCTGAGACTTAGAGGCCAAGTGGCTTCAAAAGGAAAGCCTAACTAGTTAAAAACCCAAACTCCATTTTAATCCATGTCTACTATGTTCTTTGGAAGGTTAGATAAAGAAAGGCTGTATAATCAGATTCAAATCTGAGCAACTCAGAAGAGAAGAAGGGTCTTAAACTAATCTTCAAGATGGAAAGAGGAAGAACAATTAACATCTGATGATTTATGCCCGTCCCGCCCCCCCAATAAAACCTTTAAATTGGTCCTCTTCTAGCCAGACACATCTCTGCATCCTCACAGCTGGTTATTACACAAGCAGGCGTTTGTTCCCACTACTCACTGTGACCTGGTGTTATAAATACACATGGCATGGGTACTACAGAACTTGCAAGAAACCAAAGAGAGAGAGTATGAAGCAATTCTTCATCCTCTAAGTCTCAAGTACCTTGATTTCAGACCCTGAGAAGGGTGTGCTGATTATAAATTATTGGTAACTTTTTAACTTCAGTCCTGTCCTGGTGAAGGCTAACAGGTCAGTTTATAAACTTGGAGCGATATCAGCACAAGATCCTATATTCATTATCTAGCTTCAGGGCAAGCCTCAAAGACCATTGGGTCTATGCCAATGTAAAACCTCTCATTCAGACTCACTGCTGATGAGTTGGATCTGACTCATAGCCACTCCTCCTTGGGTTTCTGAGGCAGTATCTCTATGGAAGTAGATTGCCCAACCTTCCTTCCAAGGAATAGCTGGTGGGTTTGAACCGCCAGCCTTCTGGTTAGCAGTCAAATGCCTTAAGCACTATGTCACCAGAGCTCCCTGTAAAACCCCAGAGCAATCTTATTTTTGGTGTCACTGGTTAGAGAAAGAAAGGAGGAAAAAAAAAGCTGTGGATTAAAATAACTTGTCGGAAGCCTCAATGACTATTTTCAAAGAAACTTAAAACATATAGTACATTTCTCTGTTGACCCTGCTCTTTGTAATCCACAATTAACTAGTTGGAGTCATAACTAAAGAAGAAAATAAGGTAGTCTTTGTTTCTACATTCACTCCACCCCTAGTATTTGAGCATATGGCATATACTAGAACATCCACAATAAGAGACTGAGAATCTCACAGATGTGGGATGTGGAGATGGCAAGGCAAAAGGGCACTTGAAAGGGCTACCATCCCAGCAAGCCCTGGGCTCTCATCTGAGTCTGTCTCCACTAACCCCATGCCTTGGGGCTTACTAACCTTTTCAGGTTTCCTGTCAAATGAAGGGACTAGGGTGGATGATACCTCTACAGTGTTTCTTGGTCTAACAGAGTCTGGTTAGATCTGAGGCTGCTTTCACTGTTATGACCAATGGGGCAAGATGGTTCTCTATGAGGAATTAGAGAAACGAAAGACTTGCCATTAAAGACGGCCAGTTGTACATATACAACAGCAGACATACATACATACGTGTGTATATATATATATATTGTTGTTGTTGTTGTTAGGTGCCGTCGAGTCAGCCCTGACTCATAGCGACCCCTCCTTGGGTTTCCGAGGCAGTATCACTATGGAAGTAGGATTGCCCAACCTTCCTTCCAAGGAGTGGCTGGTGGGTTTGAACCGCCAGCCTTCTGGTTAGCAGTCAAGTGCCTTAGCCACTATGCTACCAGAGCTCCCATATATATATATATATACACCCATATATATAGATACATACACACATATGATATTGTTGTCGTCAGGTGCTGCTGAGTCAGCTCTGACTCACAGCAACCCTATGTACAACAGAATGAAACAGTGCTCGGTCATGCGCTATCTTCACAATCCTTGCTATACTTGAGCCCATCGTTGCAGTCACTGTGTCAATCCGTCTCATTGAGAGTCTTCCCCTTTTCCACTGACCCTCCCCTTTACCAAGCATGAAATTCTTCTCCAGGGAATGGTCCCTTCTGACAACATGACTCAAGTAGGTGAGACAAAGTCTAGCTGTTCTCACTTCCAAGCAGCATTCCAGCTGCACTTCTTCCAGGACAGATTTGTTCCTTCTTCTGGCAGACCATGGTACTTTCAGTATTCTTAGCCAACACCAGAACTCAAAAGCATCAACTCTTCTTCCATCTTCCTTGTTCACTGTCCACCTTTCACATGCACATGAGGCAACTTAAAATACCATGGCTTGATTCAGACGCATCTTAGTCTTTAAAGTGACATCTTTGCTCTTCAGTACTTTAAAGATGTCTTTTGCAACAGATTTGCCCAGGGCAATACGTCATCTGATTTCTTGACTACTGCTTCCATGGGTGTTGACTATGGCTCCAAGTAAAATGAAACCTTTGACAACTTTGATCCTTTTTCCATTTATCGTGATGCTGATTATTGGTCCAGTTGTGAGGACTTTTGTTTTCTTTATGTTGAGGTGTAATCCATACTGTTTTCTTTATGTTGAGGTGTAATCTTTGGTCTTCATTAGTAGGTGGCTCAAAGTCATATTTACTTGCAACAAGCAAGGTTGCGTCATCTACATAAGGCAGGTTGTTAACGAGTCTTTCTCCAATCCTCATGCCACATTCTTCTTCATACAGTCCAATCTCTTGGATAATTTGCTCAGCATACAAGATGAATAAGTTGGTGAAAGAATACAACCCTGATGCACTCAGTTTGTGATTTTAAACTATGTAGTATCCCCTTGTTCTATTTGATGACAGTCTCCTGGTCTACGTACAGGTTCTTCATGAGCACAATTAAGTGTCCTGGAATTCTTCACAATATTATCCATAATTTTTTATGATCCACAGTCTAGTGTTTTTGCATAGCCAATAAAACACAAGTAAACATCATTCTGGTTTTCTTTGCTTTCAGCCAAGATCCATCCGACCTTAGCAATGATGTTCCTTGTTCCATGTCCTTTTCTG